AAAAATTTTTTAAAAATATGCTCTATTTTAGCTGAATCCTGAAACTTGTCATGATTGTAGAGTACCTGCTCTGCACCCATATCGAATACATTACCAGTATGTGATTGCATTAGCTCCAGTTTCCTTCTCTGCAGAGGAGACCTCTCTCAGAGGGTGTCCTATGTTACAGAACAAGGGACCAAGAGCTCTTTGGAGTTCTCTTCCTGAAGCACTGTTTCGAGATTGCGTGACTGAATTGACAGGTTGTTAGCCGAATTTAGTCCGAACAACTTAGACCTGGTTTCTCCACTGGAAGTGGAGTAGTGATTATCGAATAATCAGATTGTTAAATCAATTTTTGTCTCAATTGCTTAGGTAATTTAAAGTTGCAGTTCTTAAGTTTTGCTGTGCCTCAGAATCACCCAAGGAGCTTGTTAAAAACATAAATTCCAGGCTCTGCACTTTTAAACAAGCAGCTCCCTGCTTCTGCCCTTGTTCTCCTACTGTCTACTCTCCACAGAGCAGACAATGTGAGCCCCTTAAAACCTAAGTTAGGTCGTGTCGCTCCTCTGCTCAAAACTCTAATTGATTTCCATCTCTCTCAATGGATGAAACAGTCTTCACCGTGATCTAAAGGGACTTTTGTGTTCTGCCCTCTCCGTCCTTAGCTCCCTCATCTCCTCATGCCTAGCTCCAGGGGCCCCTTTGCAGTTCCTTGAAATTCCTGACTCAGGGTTTGTCACCATTGTCTAGGATGCTCTTCCCTCAGACGTCTGCATGTTACATCTTACACCATCTTACACCATTTTCTTTAAATCCTTACTCAAAAGTTGCCTTGCTGTTTGGGGGATGGGCACACTTGCAGCTCTGACTTGGGTGGTACAAAGGCAATATATGTAACCTAAATGTTTGTACCGCTGTAATATTCCGGAAAAAAAAATTGCCTTCCCAGGAGTTCTTCCCTGCTCACCATGTCTGCATTTTTAACTCCCTTTCAACATTTCATACCTGCTTCCTGCTTTGTTTTTCTCTTAAGTATTTACCGTAAACGTGATATGCATTTTATTTTTCTAATGTTTAACCTTTCTCCACTCCAACTAGAAACTAAGTTCCAGTAGGAACTTTTGTCTTGCTTGTTCACTATTGTATCCCCAGTGCCTAGAACACTTAAATATTCCGTGAATGAATTGAACAGAGTAGCGCTGCATCTCTATTATAGGTGATCAAAGGAGCGGATTTTGAGAAACATTGACAAAGTATTGTCACCATCACAGTCATCAAACATTCATTGAGTTCCTCCTGTATACAATGCACTATGCTAAATAAAAACTGGTTATTTTTCCTGATTTAGTTCAGGGACTGCTCCAAAATTTTGTTTCATATTGGCTTTGAGAACCCAGCAACAGAATTATTTGCCTTATTGATTCAAGTCTTGTAGGCTTGTAGCTGCTTAGCTAAGGAAGTCCATTAATGTACTTCCTATATAGTTAAAAGAGGCTGCTTTCTCGCAATGAAATATCCCGACTCTGCCCATCCTTTAAATATATTCATAACATTGGCAAATTAATTCAATACATCTTTCCTGAGTGCTTGCTATTGTTAAGGGAGAATTTTATATGATCAAAGTGTCTTCCTGCTGTTTTCAAATGAAGTGATTTTGATTTTGGTCCCTTGGGTTGATTTTAACCAAATCAGACATAATGCAGAGCCCAAAACAAAAGAGGTAATCCAAATGTCGCTAGACTAGGAAGAGAAAATGGTTTATATTTGAGAGTGATCCTTTGAAGTGATATTTAAACACTGTTGTACCCTTTGTTAAATATGCGTGTTCCATTCCAATGGTTCTCCCACCTAGCAATGGGTGCCAGTGTTCTAGCTATTGAGAAAACAAGTCTGGGGCTTTATTGCATTTAAGGAATGTCTTAAAGGATAGGAACATAATAAAATGTTTACATAATCAGGCAAGTAAACATTACATTAGAGGAAAATTGGTTTCACTAGTTATGGCGTTTTTCTTTCAAAACTATCTGTTCTTAAGAGTCAGCCTCCCATTATTTTAGATTAATTTTTACAATTGAAACTGTTTTCATTACAGGCAATATGAATGGCCTAAATGGAAACATATTTTTGTACACATACTAACCTGACTTAGGGCTGTGGACTTTTTTTTCCCTATAAATGACAATAGTCTAAGTCTAAAATAGTCTAATCTTAGACTATTTTGCCAAGATTTTCCATTGGGTATCTTTGTTCTATTGTATTTCTTTTTTTTAATGTATACAATTTAAGGCTTCAACATTTTGAATTGATCTTGAACAAAGCAGGTCTCTGGTAGTGATTGTAGACTTTAATTGCACAACCTCTGGGGCTCACTCTATACAGAGGACCTACTGCTAAGCAATTGATTGGGCTTTAAATTGTGTCCCATAAACCTTTTTTTTTCTTTTTAAACTTTTGTGTTTTGGGTTATGCATGTTTCAAATGCCAATGTTTAAAAGAATACCTTTGCCTGTAAATTGTTCTGTATAGGACATACAGTTCCCAAGCAAAAGATGGCTGTGTGGAGGGCATCTTTCTGAGTGCACACTCAGAATTACTGGCAAATAGAAGAGCAATTAAAGAGGTGAATGTCTTAGATCCCTGTTTCTCAAGCTTTTCCACTGGAGAATCATTAAAGGCATACAGTTGTCTCTTGGTATCCATGGGGAATTGGTTGCAGGACCTCCCATGGATATCAAAATCTGTGGATGTTCAAGTACCTGATGTAAAATGGTGTAGTATTTATATATAACCTATGCAATCCCCCTGCATACTTTAAATCATCTCTAGACTACTATAATATCTAATATGGTGGGAATGTATGTAAAAAGTTGTTATTCTGTATAGTTTAGGGAATAATGACAAGAAAAGTCTGTACCTGTTCAGTACAGACACCTTTTTCCTGAATATTTTTGATCTACGGTTGGTTGGATCCACAGATGAGGAACCCATGGATATGGAGGGCCAGCGATTTAAGAAAGGAACTCATGTCCCCAGAATTCTAACTAGCATGGAAAGGCCTGCTTAAGCCTTATGAGCTTTAAATTATTTGAAGTTCCCATTTTGTTTTTAAAATTTATGGAAATTTTTAGCTTGACTGCATAACCTAATGGCTTGCTTTACTCTAATAATAACCTCACCCTCCCGTATATGGAGGGCCAGCGATTTAAGAAAGGAACTCATGTCCCCAGAATTCTAACTAGCATGGAAAGGCCTGCTTAAGCCTTATGAGCTTTAAATTAT